ACAAATCTAAATACGTACACACAAGCACACACGTACATAGAGAGTGCCCACCCACTTCCCATCTTACTTGCCTGAGGCTCTTAACTCCAATCCTTTAGCTGTTACTTGTGCTATTTTCTCTCTTCTTTAAACTTAATCTGTGCCTTGCTATTATATGAGGATTTTAGCTCTTTTATTCTCTCTCTTCCTGTCTCTTCCACCCATCCTTCCACTACAATTACCTCAAAATCACATTCAGTATCACCATTATTATGTCTATGTAAATAATTCTCACAACTGATCCAAGTGGTGGTTTCCCATTATAGTATTTCCTATTGTTGTACAGCTTTTTGTTTTTCTAAGATTTTATTAATTACTTGATACATTACTTTGCTTACTTGTTTTTAAAACTATGGTGTATCTTTCCACCCACTCTACCAGATTAGTAAATTCTATGATTTCAATTCAGTTATGGTCAGTGGTCAAGCAGAAAATTTATCATTCTTTTTCTTATTTTCTTTGAATCATTCCTTTTTCTTCTACCATCCACCTCTGTTCTGTACAGCCTTATCTATAAGCCTGCTCATAGTTTCTGCTGTAGTTGTGGGATTTACTTCTACTATCATTTTGAAAATCCAAGACAAAAAAGGTGATCAAGATCCTAAAAGCAGAAAAGGCGTAAAATGTTGAGCACAAATAATGATTAAACTTTGAGAGAGGGTGGAACACCTGTTCTAAACTGAGAGCTAGAAGTTAATGATTTGTGCATGTGGTTATTTCCAGTTGGTGGTGAGGGAAGACCGAGACATTGAGGGATTATCCATTTAAGGGCTTCTATTTCTTTTGGAAGAATGGAAGAAAATTTATCCGCTCTGTGCATATGGCAGGACTGGCTCTGGGTCCTAAAGGAGAGGACCAAAAGAACTGATTAGGAAGACTGATCAAAGAAATTTGGGTAGTAATACATGGAAGCCATCACCATCACATCAATTTTAGGCTCCTTATGCAAAGAAGCTCCCCACATTATCAGGAAACCACATCAGGCCCATGAAACTCACCTTTTTTTTTTTTTAAATTTAAATTCAATTAGCCAACACATAGAACATCATTAGTTTCAGAAGTAGAATGCAGTAATTCCTCAGTTGCATATAACACCGAGTGCTCATCACATCACGTGCCCTCCTTAATGCCCGTCACCCAGTTACCTCATTTCCCTTCCCACCTCCCCTCCAACAACCCTCAGTTTCTTTCCCATAGTTAAAAGAATCTCTCATGGTTTGTCTTCCTCTCTGATTTCTTCCCATTCCATTTTTCCCCTCCCTTCCCCTATGAGCCTCTGCACTGTTTCTTATATTCCTCATATGCATGAAACTATATGATAATTGTCTTTCTCTGATTGACTTATTTCGCTCAGCATAATACCCTCCAGTTCTGTCCATGTCGATGTAAATGGTAAGATTTCATCCTTTCTGATGGCTGAGTAATATTCCATTGTATATATACACCACATCTTCTTTATCCATTCATCTGTCAATGGACATCTGGGCTCTTTCCATAGTTTGGCTATTGTGGACATTGGGGTGCAGGTACCCCTTCAGATCACTACATTTGTATCTTTGGGGTAAATACCTAGTAGTGCAATTGCTGAGTCATAGGGTAAATCTATTTTTAGCTTCTTTTTTTTATTTTTAAGATTTTATTTATTTTTTGACAGAGAGAGAGACAGCGAGAGAG